CATCCATCCATCCCCCCATCCATTCACCCATATGTCCATCCATCGCCCATCCATCCACCCATCCATCCACCTATCCATCCATCCATCCCCCCATCCACCCATCCATCCATCTATCCATCCCCCATCCACCCATCCATTCACCCATATGTCCATCAATCACTCATCCATCTATCTACCCATCTGTCACTCAGCCTTATGTTCACCCACCTATCCGTCCATCACTGATCTATCCATCCATATGTCCACCCACCACCCATACAGTTACCCATCTGTCCATCCATCCATCCAAACCTGCCATCCACAAATATTCACCAAGCACCTATTATATATCACGCATGGGTCTAGAAACTGGACATAGTATAGAACAGGGTCCCTCACCTGCCCTCTATGGGAGAGACAGCCAATGAGCAAACACACAGCTGGTCTGAGAGTGGTCAGGGCTATGGAGGAAAGACAACCAGGAGAAGGGGTTGGGTGCAAGGCTCATCTTCTCCAAGTGGTAGGGGAAGGTCTCCAAGGAGGATGACATGGGGCGGGGTCCTGAGGGTACAGGGTGTGATCTGTGGTGACAGTGGGGATGAGTGTGCCAGGAAGAGGGAACGGCGAGTGAAAAGGCCCTGTGGTAAATTGTACCTCGCAAGTGTGGAGCCCCATGTACCCCAGGGCTCCCTGCTCCCGTGTGGCACACACCGATCTGTCGGATCAGAGTGTGAGGACACGGGGCCTGTAGTGACGGCCCCTCTGTGAGCACTGCTGTTGGGAGGCCAGGCAGCCCCTCCCGTGCTTACCGTGAACAGGCCTTTGGTCCTCTTCCGGCTGCCGATGAAGAACCGGGCTCCTCGCACCGAGAGGGTGGCCGGGAAGGGCACGTCAGCCATTCTGAAAACATTTGAGGGTGGCTTTAGGGCCATGGGAGAGCAGCGTCACAGCCCGTTTATGCAGAAAAGGACAGGGGAAGCAGTGCACGGGGGGTATCAGTTTCCCAGGGTGGCTGTAATGAACACCCCATACTGGGGGCTTAGGTGGCAGATTATCCACAGCTCTGGAGGCCGGGAGTCTGACGTCAGGGCGTTGCAGGGTCCCGCTCCCTCTGGAGGCTCATCCAGCTCTGGGCTTTCTGGTATTCCCTGGCTTGTAGCTACGTCACCCCCTCCGCCTGTCTTCACATGGCCTTGTCTGTGCCTCTCCTCTTCTTATAGGGACACCAGGCTCTGGATCAGGGCCCGCCCGACTGCAGTCATGACCTCAACTTAACTTGATTACACCTGCAAAGACTCTGTCTCCAAGCAAGTTTGCATTGCAGGGTTCTGGAGGACGTGAATTTGAGGAGCGCTCCTTTCCCCAGGACAAGAGTCTTCTGCAAAAGTGTGGCCACAGAAGTGTCCGTTCAGGGGTTCTCCCATCTCTCTGGAAACTCTAGTGGCTCCCAGCGGCACTGAGTCCCCAGCCTGCCCACCCTCCACCACACCTATGGGGAAACAGATGGTGTCCGGGCGGGAGGGGTCCTCGCTGATGGCCTGGGAGGTGTTGGCAGATGTGGCCAGAGCTGGGTCTTGACGCGGAAGTGGACGCTGCACCCCGAGGGTGGGGGAGAAGGTGGGTGCCTGCTGGGGGGGGGGG